TTGGAGGTTGCCGTGAGCTGTAATGCCATGGCACTCTACCCAGGGTGACAGCTTGAGGCTCTGTCTCAAAAAAAAAAAAAAAAGACCCCATCTCTGCTAAAAATAGAAAAACTAGTTGGGCATAGGGGCAGGTGCCTGTAGTCCCTACTTGGGAGGCTAAGGCAAGATGATCACTTGAGCCCAAGAGTTAGAGGTTGCTGTGAGCTATGACACCATGGCACTCTAGCCTAGGTCAACAGAGTGAGACTCTGTCTCAAAAATAATAATAATAATAATAATTTTCAAGGAACTGTCAAATTGTTTTCCAAAGTTGCTATATGATTATACATTCCCGGCAGCAATGTATATTACAGGGTTCCAATTTCTCCACATGTTTATCTACACACTATAGACTGCCATTTTTTTTTTTTTGAGACAGAGTCTTACTTTGTCGCCATCAGTAGAGTGATGTGGCATCATAGCTCACAGCAACCAAAAACTCTTGGACTTAAGCGATTTTCTTGCCTCAGACTCCCAAGTAGCTGGGACTACAGGCACCCACCACAACACCTGGCTATTTTTTTTTGTTGTTGTAGTTATCATTTGGTGGGCCCAGGCTAGGTTCGAACCTGTCAGCCCTGGTAGGTATATGTGATGGGTGCCCTATCTGCTAAGCTACAGGTGCCCAGCCTGTTTTGTTTTTTGAAATAGACTCTGGCTCTCTCACCCCAGGCTAGAGTGCCTTGGTGTCAGCTTAGTTCACAGCAACTTCAAACTCCTGGGCTCAAGCAATCCTCTTACCTCAGCCTCCTGAGTAGCTGGGACTACAGGTACCTGACACAACACCCAGCTAATTTTTCTATTTTTAGTAGAGACAGGATCTCTCTCTTGCTCAGGCTATTCTCAAACTCCTAAGCTCAAGCAGTACTCCCACCTCAGCTGCCACAGTGCTAGGATTACAGATGTGAGTCACCGTGCCTGTCCTGGACACCAGTTTCTCAAATATCCTTTCCAAGGTACTTTAGGATGCACATTATGGAAGCTTTCAAAGCATATTGGCACCAGATGCAGTATCAGTTAATGAATTGCCCACTGCTGATGGGGAAGTTTCCTTTTCATCATTTTGCCTGCATTATTATTTTATCTTTCTTTTTGTCACAGTATTCTGATTGTGGTTTTGGTGGTTGTTGTTGTTTTGTTTTGTTTTTTAGGGGTTTTTGTTGAGACAGAGTCTCATTTTGTTGTCCTCAGTAGAGTGCTGCAGTGTCATCTCGCACAGCAACCTTAAACTCTTGGACTCAAGCAATCCTCTTGCCCCTTGCCTCGGCTGAGGGATACACATTAAAAGTCTAAGGTCGGCCCCATATACCAGAGGTGGTGGGTTCAAACCTGGCCCTGACCAAAAATTGTAAAGAAAAAAAAAAAAGGGAGACACCTGTGGCTCAAGGAGTAGAGTGCCGGTCCCATATACTGGAGGTTATACTGGTAGGTTCAAATCTGGCCCTGGCCAAAAATCGTAAAAAAAAAAAAAATGTCTAAGGTGCCTATAGCTGGGACTACAACACCCAGCTATTTTTTAGAGATGGGATCTGGGGCTCACTCAGGCTGGTCTTGAACTTATGAGCCAAGCGATCCATGCACCTCAGCCTCCCAAAGTGCTAGGATTACAGGTGTGAGCCACGGCACCTGGCCACATGATTGTGTTTATTTTAATTTTTTCCATTACAAAGTGAGGTGGATCTTCTTTTCACGGGCATTTTTATTTTTTGTATTATTCATATGTATTATTATTTGTATCTTTTCATATACTCATTATTATTTAATTTTTCATTTGGTCCCAAAATGATCTTTTTTTTTTTTTTTTTCTGAGACAGAGTTTCAAGCTGTCGCCCTGGGTAGACTGCCATGAAGTCACAGCTCACAGCAAACTCAGACTCTTGGGCTTTAGCAATTCTTTTACCTCAGCCTCCCAAGTAGCTGGGACTACAGGTGCCTGTCACAACACCTGGCTATTTTTTGTTGTTGTTGCTGCTGTTGCAGTTGTCATTGTTGTTTTAGCAGGCCCGGGCAGGGTACAAACCCACCAGCCCCAGTATACCCTACCCACTGAGCTACGGTCACTGCCCCAGAACGATCTTTTTTTTTTTGGCAATTTTTGGCCGGGGCTGGGTTTGAACTCGCCACCTCTGGCATATGGGGCCAGCGCCCTGCTCCTTTGAGCCACAGGTGCCACCCGTAGAATGATCTTTTTAAGAGGAAAATCTGATCCTGCCCTTTAGCACTTTTGGAGCTTCCCTAGTGCCCAAGAATAAAGACCCAACTTCTTTGGGTTTTTTGTTTTTGTTTTTGTTTTAAGACAGAGTCCTACTTTGTCACCCTTGGTAGAGTGCTGTGGTGTCATAGCTCACAGCAACCTCAAACTCTTGGACTTAAGAGATTCTCTTGTCTCAGCCTCCCAAATAGCTGAGACTAGAGGTGCCCACCACAATGCCCAGCTATTTTTAGAGACAGGCTCTCGATCTGGCTCAGACTGGTCTTGAACCTGTGAAATCAGGCAATCCACCCACCTCAGCCTCCCAGAGTGCTAGGATTACAGGTGTGAGCCACCTTGCCTGGCCTAAGACCCGGCTTCCTAACTGGACCACAAGGCTCCACACAGTCTGACACCAGCTGCTCCTGGCCCTGTCTCTCACCATTGTCTGGACAACTTGCAGTTTCCAGAAACAGATGAATGACTTCTTTCCTCCTGGCTTGGACAACTGTGGACATCACCTCCTCCTGCATGACTTCCAGACTCAACCTCACCACACATCTCTGAGGGAATTACTTATTTACAGGGCCAGATTCATAGGTGTCCGGCCTTTGTAGAAGACCCCTACTCTTGGGAAGGGTCCTTGGCTTGGTTTAACGCTGTGCTGTTGGCTGGGCACCTGTAGCTCAGTTATTAGGGTGCCAGCCACAAGGCTCTGGGGTTGGTAGATTAGAATCCGGCCCAGGCCTGCTAAACAAACAAACAAACAAACAAAAATAGCTGGGCGTTGTGGCCGGCACCTGTAGTTCCAGCTACTTGGAAGACTGAGGCAAGAGAATCACGTGAGCCCAGGAGTTTGAGGCTGCTGTGAGCTAAGATGCCACAACATTTTACCAAAGGAGACAAAGTGAGACTCAGTCTCCAAAAAAAAAAAAAAAAAGGCATTCCAAGTACAGGGAACAGCACAGGCAAAGGTACCCTTCCTGGCAGGACCAGGAAGCCCTGGGAATGTGAATACACTGGCCTCACCTAAA